TAGAGAAATGGTTAAAGAGGGGAAAATGACTACAAAATCATGTTACAAATACCATGATAAGTGGACAAATAAAACACTTATCATATCTTTAGTCATGTACTTAGAACAATCGTTGTCGAGGTACCACGTGTTGTTCCCCCTCACTGGAACCTGCATGAAAAATCAAACGTTAGTGTCAGGAACACAGGTCTCCTTGGGTTCCTATGTAACAGATGTAGATTCAGATTTCTTCACCGATATCTTTTTAACATGATTTTCATTCTTAAGAGTGCTTTTATCTTTCTTAGGACATTTGTTTTGCTTATGTCCTGTCTTACCACAAAAATAGTAGAAAATACTACTAGGTAGGTCAAGATACTTCTTTTCTTTTTGGAACTTCTTCTTATACCCTAGACCTACAGTTCTTTTAGTTTGAGCATTTGTAATCCAATCAGGTATAGTATACTCAACGGATTGCTTGCCCTTCTTAACTTTTTCAAGTTCCCCATCAAGTCTAGCCTTATCCAATTTTAACTCTTCTAGATCAGATTTCAATTGTTCAAAATTAGGATATTGATCAAGAAGAGGAACTTCAGAGTTAAGAGTGGCACCGCTGAGTTTTAACAAAGAAATTTCTACATTCATCAGTATGTTGTCATGTTTCAATCTTTCAACAGTTTCTTTTAATTTCAAATTATCATCAAACAAATCAAAGAATCTTTGTTTAATGTCAAGTCTCATATTATCTATCCATTCACTATGTTATTTATGAGTTTAAAGTGCTTTGTCACTTTGCGCTTTAGCCACATGCAAGTCAATTAACTCACCTTGAGTTTCCAAGACAGTGTCAATTAGATTTTCTTTATTTAGAGAAATGTTGTAATTGATTATAATCATACCATACCTCAGCCTCTAATGCTTCCAGTTTAGCTTTTTCATCAGTTTTGGCCATCAAACACAAGTGTGCTGATTCTTTCAAAGGTTCTTCTTCTTCTTCTTCTTCTTCAGATTCTAAGTCTCCCTAGTCAACCATCATAGCCTTTCTTACATCTGTCTTTGAAAAAGATGTCTTGTAAGCTTTAGTCTCCTTTGCTTGTTCCTTGCCTTTGAATCTTGCTCTATCATTTTCCTTTAGAGGACAGACTCTGATAAAGTGTTCTTTTAAGCCACACTTGAAACAGGTAGTCTCTTTGGAACTTGAGAATTTTTTGTTCCTATCATACTTCCTGTTACCAAGCATCTTTTTGAATCTTCTCACCAACATGGCCATCTCATCTTCATCAACTTCTGAGTCATCACTGTCCTGAGCTTTAAGAGTCAGGCTTTTATTTTTGGAACTTTCAGCATTAGTTCCTAAGTGAAGTTCATGTGTCATCAAAGATCCATCCAGCTGTTCCATTTTGAACTTGGTGAAGTCCTTGGTTTCTTGTAACGCAGTCACCTTGGATCTCCAGCGTTCGTCTTGGGGAAGACTTCTCAACACCTTTCTAGCCTGTTCATCTATATGAATATGTCTGCCAAGGGAACCCAACTCATTCATTATATCATTATATCTAGTAAACATCTCTTCTATGGTTTCCTTAGGTAGCATTTCAAAGCTTTCATATTTAGACATCAACAAATCAATTTTACGTTTTACCTCATTTGTACCTTCATGAGTAACTTCTAGTAGATTCCATATTTTCTTAGTAGACTTGCATCCCATGATTTTATTGTGTTCATGGGGTCCAAGCCCATAGTGCAACAATTTTATAGCTAAAGAATTCAATTCATATTTTTGAAATTTTTTTTTTCAAAATCAGATAAAGGTTTAGAAACTACCTCGTTTTTCTCATTAGTTTTGGTTACCTCAAAATCACCAGACTCAATAACATGCCAAACAGTTGGTAATTTTCAGCCTTGATGAAGATCTTCATCCTATTCTTCGAGTAGGTATAGAACTTACCATTGAACATAGGTGGACGATGGGTAGAGTACCCTTCTTCAAGCTTCTATCGATAATTCATCTCTCCTCAGGAACTTACTCAACAAAGTGATTTGTTTATACGCGAGAACCTGGCTCTGATACCAATTGTTAATTGAGACGAACTTCTACAAGAGAGGGTGAATTGTAGTGAGTTCCTAGTGACTACTTTTTGCGGAATAATAACACAAAATATTAAAGGAACTTGCAATGCACATACGATTTTACGAGGAAACCTTCTAGGGCCAAACTGGAAGTAAAACCTCAACCCTCCAAGGGATTTCAAACCAAATCAATCCACTGTAATAGGGAAACACTCCTAGTTACAACCTATTACTCACAGACCTTTGCTCACAAGTTCCAGACTGGACTTGCTACACAATAGAACCCTATTCTACCCAACTTAAGTCCCTGACTTTACGAGGAAACCTTCTAGGGCAAAACTGGAAGTAAAACCTCAACCCTCCAAGGGATTTCAAACCAAATCAATCCACTGTAATAGGGCAACACTCCTAGTTACAACCTATTACTCACAGACCTTTGCTCACAAGTTCCAGACTGAACTTGCTACACAATAGAACCCTATTCTACCCAACTTAAGTCCCTGACTTTACGAGGAAACCTTCTAGGGCCAAACTGGAAGTAAAACCTCAACCCTCCAAGGGATTTCAAACCAAATCAATCCACTGTAATAGGGAAATACTCCTAGTTACAACCTATTACTCACAGACCTTTGCTCACAAGTTCCAGACTGAACTTGCTACACAATAGAACCCTATTCTACCCAACTTAAGTCCCTGACTTAAGTTCACTCGGCATCCCAAAGTACTCACAACTCAGCTTCAAACTTAAAGCCTACCAACTGTATGCAATATGCTAATCACTCACCCAATACCCAAAACAATAAAAACGTTTGAATCTAATATGTGATTGGAAAGCTACACATGAAATTTGAAACTAATATGACAAAGCTATTAACTTGGCATACTTACTCTTAAGCACTCTTCAGATTTTTCACGCATAAACTCACGAGTTGTATCCATTATGAACACTTCTTTATATACATAAACTTATGTATGTAAAGTAGGGTTTTCAAAAGATAGAAAATATAAAACTGTCGTTTACCAAAACCCTTTGTGAAATAAATCTTTTGGAAAACTTATCAAAGATATAATTTAGAAAAGATTATTATTTTGCAAAACCAGATTTTATGAGATAAAATCTCTCAAAGATCTTTTCCTAAATTTAAAACTTATCTTTCATAAAACTTTCCATATTTATAAGCTTGCCAAGCTTTGCCACACTTCTAATAGATTTCATGCGTAAACCAACCAAACATATTTACAGCAATCCTATAAAAAATAAACTTAACAAAAACCTTAATAATAAGACTTTTAGTCTATTGCCGAATTGCTTCCTCAATCGTTGCATTGTATGAATACTTGGGCTCTACGCAGACCAGGACTGAGTTCCTGTTGTCTTCAACTCTCTAGCTCCTTGCTGGAACTCGCAGACCAAGTGTTAATGGAACTTGCTATCTTCAACGCAGTCCAAGCTAGTTTTCTTAGCTCGTTGTCAAGCTCCTATTAGGGAACTTATCTTCATGTTCTTGTTAAGGATCACCTCTAGTTCTAATAAGGAACACTTCTTCTATACTCTTTATCTTTCCTTTAATTCTCCTTGGATCTTCATAGATAGGCTACTCTTCCACTTCCAAAGTCAACTTCACCTTTTCTAATTAACACTTAGAAAAATCGCATTAGTTGAAGTTTGCTTTTACTCATCATCATCAAAACCTCTTAAGCTTCAACGGGAAGTATTAAAGTGGTTGAGTTGAGTAATTAGGTGATCAATCTATCAAACCTATGATAAGAGTTTAAATCTGTGATAAGAGTAAAAGGTTGTTATACTTGTTTAAGCGTTGTTATGCCTCACATAGATATGACCTAATTAATCTCATCTTCTTTAGATCATAATTGGTGTTATCCTACCAGTTTTACTAGTTTAATTAGCTGTTGTTTTCTTCACTTTAAAAAATATTATTCAAATAATTTCAATCTATTGATTAAAAATAAGTTTAGTTTAATAAAAATCAATAAATTTAAAGAAGAAATATAATAGAAAATCAGTAAAAATAATTTCAGTTCAGTATAATGAATTTCTATTTAGTAAAAATAGTTTAAATTCTAAAAAAAAAAATTCATTTGAATAAAAATAATTTCATTTAAATAAAATTAAGGTGAAAATAACAATGATAGTATTCATCTTATTTTCTGCCTTGTTTATTCCATATATAAATATATAATGCACAATTTTCATTGTTGAACAAGTTAGAGCAGCAAGTAAAAGAAGTATGAAATTTCGTGTTTCAACATCGAAAGACTGAAAGAGACACTTTCAAGTTTCAACTAATTATGTTAAATAATTGCTTTTATTTTGCAAATTAATTCATGACTTTGAATACGGAGCATAGATATTAAAATTGACCCGATCGACCTAATCTGATATGAAAAATATTCGATTCAGATTTTGACTCATATGAAGTATGAACATAATAAATTAGCATGATCCAACTTTGAAATACACCTCCGACCCGATCCGATCTCACCAAATCCAACCTAAGTATCTGAATTGACACTTCTAGTTGTGACTCTTGTGAGCCTTACACAAATTGTTAAAAAACTAAAGGATAAATTAAATAAAAAAATTTGTCTTAAAACAAACTTCAACTATTACGCATATAATATGGAGAAAATACAAGTTTATCATCTTGATAAACTCAAAAATTTATAATAAATATCAAAAATAAAACACTGTTCATGGCAGAACTGCTAATGGTGTTAGCAGTTTTATCATAAACAGTGCTTTTTTCACTATTCATGGTAGAACGCTAACACCATTAGAGGTTCTATGATGAACAGTGCCAAAAAAACACTATTCGTGGTAGAACCACTAATGGTGTTAACTGTTTACCATGAACAATTTTTTTATTTTTTTTTTATTTACAAATTTGCCATTTGATAAACAACTCATGTTCATCAAGGTGATAAACCGGGCAAGCCTCTATAATATGTAGCCTATTAAACAAAATATCTACATCAATTCTCTTGTAACTAACAACTTCTAACACATTATATTAATCGTACATACTGTCGTACAAATTATAACATGATGCCTTACAACAGTGCTTGACAAAGAATCTTTAACAACAATTTTGAGTTTGACCAATAAGAAACATGTGCGTAGTATATAATTTTTTTTTATGTTCCCTCTGTTGGAACTAGTAATGTGACAACTAACTTTATATACGACTGTTTTCAAATAATGGTACACTGTCCCGGACTGTCATAAGATGGTGAAGGGTACGACTGAACTGCAACGAACTCACAAGGCATGTTGTTGCTGTACGAGGGAGCGAAGTGGCAAGGCTGGTAAGGAAGGGGTTCAGAAGTACATTGAACATATGGACGACAGAAGTTACAGATGCAATAAGGAGGACATTTAGGGCGTGGTGGTCCGACGCTTATAATTTCAGGCGCCTTGCCAATCTTCTTAAGCTTCTTGAAAATTGGAACTGGCTCAACTTCTCCAATTATGGTCAATGTACCTTTGCTAACATCCACTTCCAATTTTTCTATACCTATTCAAAGTACCCACAACACCATAAAATAAGATTAATGAGTTAGTATTTTATTATCAATCGAGTTAGAAATAATAAAGGTCACTATCATATATATAATGGTGAGTTTAGTGGCGGATCTTAAACAAAATTTCTTAGTTGGCTAAATTAAGAGTGATATATTATGAATTATACTTTGTCTCAAATTATGAGTTATATTATGAATTATGAGTTATACTACTTTTACACTATTTATGTGTTTCACTTTGACTAACTTTGGTGATTTATAGCTATGCAAACATATAGTCATGTCTTATTATATTCGTCTCGATTTATACTATTTTAATATTAAATGTTTATAATTTTATATATTGGTATTTAAAGATTAATAATTGAAATTATGCATCGACAAGCGTGAGAAGAAAAGTGTTGCAACTATAAAAAAAAATAGATAAAGTACTTCATATTATATTTAGTGAGTAGGCACTACAAGTAGGGATTTTTCTTGATATAATTATTCGCTCCGTAGTGATAGTGGGTTCAAAGGGATATGTAGGAAAAATAAAAATAAAAATAAAAAATAAAAAGTAGACTCATGTCATTTATGAAAAGAAAGAGAAATATATCAGCTACTAATTAAAACTACTACCTCTATTTGTCATTTTTACAACAAAGGCATTTTTTTTGTCTCACAAATCACAATACCCCTTAGCTATAAATAATAAAAATCAGAGATCAGAGGTAGTATAAGTCTATAATAGCTAAATTTTTAGGAAAAGTGTGTATTAACACAGAGAACTTATATTATGGCAAACCTTAAATAACAATTACGTCATGGTTTATGATTTAGGTTTTTTTTTTTTTTTTGTCTTTGTTGTTTACACTATGCATATTAAATTACAGACCGTGATGAATAGCCATAACTTACTATGCCACGCATAAAAAATAAACCTTTAATTAGTTTAATACTTTAATTTATCATGCGTATCACCGTTGTTGTACACCCATAATCTTTTTTATTTCGTCCATTTGATCATTGATTGAAAGCTCTCCTCACAAGAGAAAACATGCGAAATAGCTTCGTGTGTAAAATACATTTGATTGCACAAGTATAATGGAAATTTCTACAAACTATCTAGCTTGCCGATGTAGTTTGTGATTTAGATTGTGATATGGGAACCATCCCAAACCAAACTAGCTAGTATACAAGACTCCTACACCTTTCTTCCCCTTTAGAAATTAAATTCAAGAAAATATAAGTTATTGATAATACAAGTTCATATATTAGGGTTAGCAAGTTCATTCTTTTTGGAGTGAAAGTAGTGTTAGACTTGGTGACAAATTTTGGAGTAGTTTATCTTGGAATACAAGGAAACTAAGTTAGGAGAAAGATAAATTAAGTAAAAGAAAATGAGTCAATATAATAAACATACCATCAATTTTCGCTACAGCCTTCATAATATCGGTTTGACATTTCTTGTTTATAATGGCGACTTTTATAACAGTTCTCTGCATTATAATGATCGATTAGTATGCATGCAATCAGTAGAATCAAACATTAGATACATTTCATCAAAAGTTATAATTGCACAATTGTACACGTATAAAAGAACTTGAACAATTATTAGCAAATTAAACTCTCTCATCTTCAAGGTATATAACCCGAGGACTAGATGCGAGCCGAATTCTACCGAGCTCAATTTGAGTGGGTTTTTACTCCCTCTCAAAGCGAACCTTAGCTTCTTATCTTACAATACAAACTTCAGGAAACATAAGGAGTATATCATATAAAGTTGTATACAATACCTTCTTAGCCATGATTTCAGTATTAGGATACAAGAGTAGAATATTTCTTTCCTCGATGAGCAGAAAAGAATTGAACTTGAAATGAGTTAGTGAATAATTAAGAAGCTTTATATTTATAATGAAAGTATTAAGAACCATTTAATTTATTATTGAACATGTGGTATTAAGCAATGCGACTCGTTGACTCCATTGACTTTCCTTAAGATAATCTCTCTAACATGTACAAGTATAATTTTAGTACTATATAATAACTACAAGTTGTTAACTTGTACACCTTCCTCTTTCCCGTACAATAATATGCACAATTGCTTAGTTTATGATTATGTGATTATGAGGTCATATGACTAGACTATTGACTTGGCTTACATACATGCAAAATTTGTAGTTTCCTTAGTTTAAGGGGAAAAAATAAACAAAAAAGGACAAGACCATTAAGACGAACGAGTTTATATTTCTTAATTGATATGTCGGCTAATTATACTACTCTCTTCTTTTTTAAATAAAAGTCTTATTTATTAACCTTTTGCATATAAAATTAGGAAGATGAATACTCCGTAAAAATTAATATACGGAGTAGTGGAGTTTGGTTGATATTGGATATGAAGAACAACATAGTAGGAATTGGTTTATTAAAGGTGAATAAAGGGTTAAATCTAATTGCTTGATTTATTTATTTACCTTTTTAATTTATTTTTCACGTTTATCAATGCATAATTACAACTGTTGATATTTTTATTAAGCATTTGTAAAAATTACAAAAATTAAATTTAAATAAAAAATAAACATTGAAATGAATCTTAAATGCAAGATCCCACGTGATTATATTTTTTAACTATAATTAGAAAATGTATGTAATTGAAGTTAATTATGTGAATAGTGTACACTATTGAAATGTTGTAGGCTGAGAAAGTATCTATTTTTTTATTTGTATTTCATAGGAATGAGATGTCTTTTTATTATACAGACAAGTGAATAAAATGAGATTTTTATTTGGGACTAAGGGAGTATACTACATTTAAATAGTATAACCAATGATTTAAAATATTGATCATTTTATATTCAAATCACCATCAACAATTATTATAATACTCCCTCTATTTTTTTATCCTAGTTGTTTTTTTTGGCACAATTTTCGATGCAATATTGTAATAAAAATATTCTAACTACATATTATCAAAAAATTTAAAAATCATATATTTGAAAATTAAAAATTAAAACCAATCTAACAAGATCTTGCGTGACTATGTTTTGAAACCTAAAAAAAACCATAAAAGTACAAAATTCATTTGCATGAATTAGAATCTCTTAAGATTTTAAATGGGACTGAATAATACTCCCTCTGTACTCATTACTGTAGTTATATAAATGAAGGCAAATGAGTAAAAATGGGGGCCATGCTATGAAAACATTTGTTTTAAGAAGGAGAGCGATAGAGAGTAAGAGATTAATTTAATATTATTGGATAACACAAAGTGGGGTTATAGTTGTTAGGAAATAAGGGTGTAATTGTGTCTGATTAATGCGGAAAAAGACAATGAAAAATAAGAACGAGAACATCAATTAAGAAGATAAACAAATAACACAAGAATTTACGTGGTTCGGTCAAATTAGACCTACATCCACGAGTGGGGGGTTCGAGAGCTTCTTCACTATAATGGAGAAAGAACGACAGAATAATACAAGAACTAAATCTAATGGCTCAAAAGGTATGATCTAATTGATCAACTAAATTGTTCCCCAAGTATACTCAAATAGCTAGCATAGAAAAGATAAAATTTTAGGAAATTATCTCTAAAATAATTAAGCTAAAACTAGACCAAAATTCTTAATTTTCCAACTAGGCACAGATAGGAATGTCAATGGGGTGGGGCGGGGCGGATGTTGGCCTTCCCATCCCCATCCCCACCTAAAATTTTCATACCCATCCCCATCCCCGCGGTGGGTCTAAAATTCATCCCCATCCCTGCCTCGGCAGGTACAACTCTAAAACCATCCCCGCCCCACCCCCCCACTTGGATATCCACCCCCACCTAAGACCCGCCTAATCCCCGCCTCCCAAATACACAATCCTTCATAATTAATAAAGATTGCAAAAAGAAAAAATTATTGTTAATATTACACTTTATAATATAAGTGTATTACAAAGTATTATATTAACTATTTTATTTTACATAATTTTTTTTAATAAAATAGTATAAAAGTATATAATTTTGTTTTTAAAAATATATGGATGTGGGGATGGGGCGTGTACGAAGTGAGGCGGGTGGGGATGGAGCGGGTATGAAGAGGGGCGGGTGGGACAGGGCGGGTACAACCTTAAATCCACCCCCACCTCATCACCCGCCAAACCAAGATCCATCCTCGCCTCGTTGGGGCCGGTCTCCTATTTGACCTGCCCCACTAACATCCCTAGGCATGGACATGCCTCTTTTAGGCACGGGCGTACCTGATCGCGTACTTCGTCAGCATATTTTTAGTATCGTCAGTTCTTCGTAAATTGGCCATAACTTTCTCATTTCTTATCGGAATTGGGCATATGACCTATCATTGGAAAGCCCTTAAACCAAGATATTTCCTCCAACTTGAATCACCTCAAAATCACTTGTAGTTTGAGAGGTATTTTCTTTCAAAGTTAACCCTACTAGATTTTGAGTCACAATTATTTAACAAATCTCCACCTTGACTTGAAATCGACCAAAACAAGGTAACTCCACCTTGAACTAAAAAACAAAAAGTAACGCTCATAAAAAACATAGAACCTCCACCTTAAACAAAATTCCATAAGCCTACTCAAATTAGGCAATCAACAAACGAACATCTTCATAACTTGTGAACCGGTGCATCTCTGAACACAAAATTCCGTACACAAAACCATTACATGGCCTAGATCAAGAGTATAATGTCACAACGCCAAGAATTCTTATCAAAATTGACTAAAATCTCTTTGAACACTTCTTCATCTCGAAACCAAACTAAAAAACATAAGCAATTCTAAAAAAAAAAAAATTATATCAAGAATTTCTAAATTGCAATTGTACTTAACAAATCATAAAAGTACCAAAATTGAGATAAGAAATATCATAACTAGATCAAAATCTAATGCATAACCAAGATTGCTACTTTATTACAAACGAAAAAATCAAAAGCAATCTATCATAGACTCCATACCAAAACCGCACGGTTTCTCGTTTCACCAAGAGATCTCAAATGGGCACTTATCATGAAGAGATCGTAGAAACCGCAACCCCAAAACTCGTAACCCTAAAGTGAATAGTCATCATCATCATCAGTGTTGGCAATATTTGCGGATTTGTCCTCATTGGACTTCTCCTCATTCTTCTTCTTCAATTTCCAACACTCGGCTTTGATGTGACCCTTCACATGACAATAGTTACAAACTTTTCCTTTACCAAAATTCTTATTACCACCATGAGCAACCAAAGAATTATTTTGAGCCGGATTATTAGATTTATTAACCAACTTATTGTCAATTAAATCTCTCTGGGTTAAGGGATCCTTAACATCCTCCAAACTCAAATCATCTCTAACATACAATAAAGTATCTCGAAAGTGCTTATACGGAGGCGGTAAAGAACACAACAACTTAATAGTCATATCCTCATCATCGATCAACATCAATGTTTTGCAAATCCATAATAATAGAGAAGAATTCATCTAAATAAGACTTAAGCGATTTACCTTCTTCTAGACGAAGATCATGAAGTCTAGATTTGAGTAGTAGACGATTGGTCACACTCTTTGTCATATAAAGTGACCCCAACTTTAACTACAAAACACGCAGTAGTCGTCTCCTTGGCAACCTCTCTCAAAACATCATTAGAAAGACATAATTGAATTGCCGAAAGAGCCTTCAAATCGATCTCCTCCCACTTATCCATCGTCATGCCTGAAGGCTTTTTGGATACACCTACAAGAGCCCTGTCACAACCACTTTGAACAAAGATGGCTTTCATCTTCAATTGCTATAGGCCAAAATTCACTTGCCTATCGAATTTCTCAATGTCGAATTTCATTGGCATAGTTTAATCAAACTAATCTATAAACACCTAAAACCTAAGATCTTAAAATCTTGCTCTAATTCCAATTTGTTAGGAAATAAGGGTGTAATTGTGTTTGATTAATGCAGAATAGGACAATGACAAATAAGAACTAGAAAAGCAATTAAGAAGATAAACAAATAACACAAGGATTTACGTGGTTCGGTCAATTTAGACCTACATCCACGAGTGGAGGATTCAAGAGTTTCATCACTATAATGGAGAAAGAACGAGAGAATAATAAAAGGAGTCTTAAAGCTAATGGCTCAAAAGGTATGATCTAATTGATCAACTAATTAAATGGTCCTTTTTTAACACAAGCAAACCCTAACAAAACCCTAAATTGTTCCCCAAGTATACTCAAATAGCCGTCACATAAAAGATAAAATTTTAGGAAATTATCCCTAAAACAATTCTGAAATTTCCAATTAGGCACGTCCGTGCCTGGTCCCATACTTCGTCAGCACATTTCCAGCATCGTCAGTTCTTCGTAAAATGGCCATAACTTTCTCGTTTTTTTATCGGAATTGAGCATATGACCTATCGTTGGAAAAATCTTGAACCAAGCAATCACCTCCAACTTGTATCACCTCAAAATCACTTGTAGTTTGAGAGATATATATCTGCATTTAAAATCAGCCCTACTAGATTTCGAGTCACAATTTAACAATAGCTGATAAAAAATAATAATATAAAAGGTATGTCATAAATATAATATAATAAAAATGAGTACAATTATAAAAATGAATGAAAACTGAAAATGAGTATATATATGTGTGTGTGTTCATTCAAAAAATTCTCATAATACCCTTTATTCTAAAGGCATTATTTTATTTATTTATCACAACCTAATATAAGAAAATCATTCATTGTTTGGAGGGGGATGTAAAAAAATCCCAATGCAACAACATTCACTAGGATAATGTGGCCCATCTCCACAGAAAAACTCATATGGTATGATACCTGCATCTTTGCACTTCTTCAAACATTCATCTTGATACTTGCATGGCCCTACGAATATGCA